AAATGACGTTTCTTACAGAGCATTGTGGGTGTCTGCGTTCAGTATGATCGTAATTTATAGCGTGAATTTTCTGACTGGAATGGTGCTGTATAGCGCTTACAAAGACTGTGATCCTTTAACAGCCGGATATATAAGCGGCCAGGATCAAATACTTCCGCTGTATGTGATGAATTTCTTGGGGGGATTTCGTGGAATGCCCGGATTCTTCGTAGCTGGTATCTTCGCCGCGTCTCTCGGGTTCGTAGAACATTTCAAGCAAACAATTAATATACAATTAATATATCTAATGGGAAATAAATTTATTCTGAACTAAAGCTCGAGAAGTCATTGAATTTCATTTGAAAATATCTTGAATTGTATTTTCAGAACTGTGGCGAGTGCCTTAAACTCATTAGCAGCGATAACCTGCGAAGATATTCTTCGCGGACTCTTCCAAATGGACTTGCCAGCAAGTAAAGGTGCCATTTACGCCAGATGGATTAGCATATTTTTTGGAGCTCTCAGTTTCGCGCTGGTCTTCATCATCGAGCGTCTTGGTAGCGTCTTGCAGGTAATTTACATGTTTTGCTTGCGTTTTTCGTGTATTCGAAAAATCTTTGAATTTGCATTTTAATTCATATACATAAAGAATTCTATAAAAGATGTAGATTCTATAAAAGATGTAGACTTTAGCTTTTTGAAATGTTCCAATTTAAAAAAATTGAGAAATTTTTCAAATAATTATAAAGCAATTATTAAAATTATTACAGAAATTATACAAAAATTCTGAAAATAGATAAAATATTCTAAGAAAAATTTAAAGAAATATAATAAAAATTTTTTAAGCGTAATTCTCTCTTTCCATACAATATCATTATTTCATACGATGCGTATGATTTATATTTTTATAAGTTCGAAGAAGGAATTTCATCTTTTCTTTCTTATCGCGCTGTTATTTGCACATTAAATTACACATTGTGAACTCGAAAAGCATTATTGACAAAGTCGTTGTAATTCTTAGGTTGCGCTATCTTTTAACGGCATGGTTGGCGGGGTGACTCTAGGATTATTCTCCTTGGGTATGTTTGTACCATGGGCTAATGCTAAAGGAGCAATAGTAGGTGCCATCACGAGTTTAATAGTCGTCCTATGGATTGGATTAGGTGCCCAAATTGCGGCTGTAAACGGACAGATTCGATTGGATAGCAAGCCTATATCGATTGCAGGTTGTCCTTGCATAAATGAGACCACAATTGTGCTCAATCAATTCGAGCACAACTTCAATGATGAAATTTCGTCTATATACAAGGTGAGATTTGTCTTTTCAAAGGCATGGTTCGTAATTACGTTGTATTACACGTAATTATCTCTCAGAATTTCAATTCACTATAAGAATAAATTAAAATTGCAATTTCTGCAATTAAATGCTTATTAGTAAAGTATGAAATGTTTGAGATCAACATTTTTAACTTATTTATTTAATTTTATATTTTAATTTATTAGACTTTGCACAATTACCTATACGTCGTAAACAGATTTATTTATTTTAAACTTTAATTTTTCTTGCTAAGTATTCAATTTATTGTTTTTTTCGTATAATTTATCGACTTATTTCACATTAATTTCTTTATGCAAAAGGACAGATTTATTTAAGATTATTATATTGATAAATGAGATAAATCTTACGCGTGATATGATTTACAGACCAGTTATCTATGGTATAGCGCAATCGGTTGCATGTTGACCATGCTGGTAGGCTTGGCGGTGAGTTTTGCGACGGGCGCACAAAATCCCGCCGACATTGATCAGGATTTCCTGAGCCCGCCGATCGCAGCCGTGTTCCGCATACAGACGAAACCTTGCGCCTCCACAAATGTCCAAGGTATCGCGAACTTCGGTCTCGAAATGGAAGACGAAAAGCCTCGGCAAACGGAAGTTTGCAAGAAATGACCTTCTTGCGAGAGATCATCAGTGAAAATCACATGAATCGGGGGAACCCGATAAAAAAAATAGATACCGAGCCCGCGAGAAAGTAATCTAGTTCTGCGAACGATTCATCGAATGATATATCAAATGATCGAAAGGACGAATTGTCCAACAGGATATTTATCCCTAGAGGGTTCGCCATTTCGAAAGGGCGTAAAAATCCGTTCTCAGACTGCATCGACAAATATTGCAGAAACATTTAAAGAAAAATGTAGTCCTTCTCTAATTCTTTCCAAGCCTAGAACGAGTAGAGGTCTCTTTACTCGTTCTGGAAAGAATTGTTCATAATTCTACAGTTTTTCTTGCCAGTATTAGTTCAAAGATAGCTATACCCAGTAAACATCAATTAACAGTAACGTTACACAATATTATAATACTCAATAATATAATTATCGTATAATATCTGTTATATTACAATTTATATTGTTAAATGAGAAATTATAATATTCATGTAATATTATATTATTTGCTGTTTACCGGATATTGTTCAAGACACACTCTGCGTTCCTATTTGTGCGCTTGTTGAGTAGAATATCCAGGGTTCTGCAATACTATATAGCACCACGAGATTAATTTAGTTAATTATAATCAATACAAAGGTAGTTTGACAGAATTATATATATATATACAGAGAGTTTTATTTTTTTAATACCTGATGAACATTTTTCTTTCTGCGCAAAGCGATCCGAGAGTGAGTAACTGACAAAATAACTGACAAAATAACAGATATTGCGGCGATTTGAAATTTTTTCTCCAAAAATATTACCACGACGGAGCAAGCGAGAGAGAATTTTTTATTATTAAAAATATTATTATATAATGTGCCGAATAAAACGTTACACGCATTTGTATTATTTTTTGCGCATCTTTTTATAATGTTCTGACTAATGTGATTTGACTTTCCTAGCTAATTTCCCATATAAACACAAGATAGCAAGAAATTTAGATTATATGTGTATTCAGCGTATTTATATATTATATATCATAAAAATACGTCGTTAAATAACCATAATTCTACTTTCATTATTAAATATTAAATAAATCAGAAAAGATTATTTAAGTTTTTTTTCTTTCTTTTTATTTGATATATGAACGATTTTACTTTCGGAATTACTTTATTATTCTACACCTTGCATATTATTTCGCTTTAAGAATTCTTATTTCATGAAGACAGATACACTCAGTGCGTACTAAAAATGTTTGACTATTCCATTGTACTTTTATCTTTGCTTTCGCATAATTTATTAACAAGACAAGCATATTTGATGAATGTTTTTGAATAGTGGATTAAAGTAAATGTTAAAATATTATGTACTTGTTTTTTGTAAATACATGTGGAACAAGAAATATTTAAAAATATAGATCAAATATTTAAAATATTTAAAAACGTGGAACAATAATTATAATCTTAAAAATCGATTTAGTAATTATACGATGAATTATAACGATGAAATATTATATAAAAAAATAAAAGCCACATACAGAATGACATAAAATGCATAAAAATAATATAAAATCCTTGGATTAATGAATATTCGTCATAAAAACATCATGTTAATTTATATAAAATATTCAGTCCAATGACCTTATGCTATGATTGTGCAGCTTATCATTTTATGTGTGATAATCTTAGACTCTAGAAATAAATTAAAAGACAAGTTTATGTGAATCTATAAGCCCACTAAATAGTCGTGTGTAAAAATTTTGACAATTCTACTGATTTTATTATGAAACGAAATAGTTCTTTTATTAATTGTTCAATATTATACTGAAGATGATCCAAAATAAGGATTAAAATTACTAACTTGTATCTTTATTTTATTAATCATTTTTTACACAAGACTATCTAACATCTACTCGCATGAACTTTTTCTTTAATTCATGATTAATGAAAATCATCAATTAATAATCAACTATCTTGAATTAAATATTTCCTTATAAATGAAATTTATAAATGATTTAATAATAAGAAACCTTTTTTAAAGTCTCTTTCAGTAACTCGGAACATTAAGCTATTAAAATAATTTATTTTAGAATTACTTTGACCGTATTTGAAAATAAAAAAAGATTTCGGTTACATGGAAATTCTTTATAGCTCTTTATAGAAATCTATATTAGAATCTATGTTAATATTAGCCAATTTAATAATGGAAGATAATAATTACTTATTTTAATTACTAAAAGCACTGAATAACTCAAAGTAAATAATTAATCTCTACCTTCCAGTATTAAATTTCTATAAGAAGCTATCATCTAATCAGACAAATTCTATTCTACTTGATGTAATAACAAAATAAAACATTTCCGTTAGATAGTTTTCCGTTAGATAGTTTTGCATATTGAAAATGATATCGAGACATCTGGTATCGACCGAGTACAAGTATCATTGTCCCGTTAAAGTATCTGAGTACATAGTGAACGTATGTGAAACATCGTTTATGTTATTGTGGAGAGAAGAGAGAAGGAGAACGAGACAGTGAAAGTGGATCAATACGCGGTGTGCGGCCCGTCTGGCAGCGTACGGCTGTTTCTCCGCGAAGTGAGGCCGCCTGTCCGCGCTCGCAAGACATCCACGACGTTGATACGAATCAGATCCATTCTCTATGACAGTGGAAACTCGTGAAATCGTCAATTCGTCTTCGAATTCTACGTGAAACGGAGATGCGCGGAGTCGCGCTCGAATCGTCAGTGTTCTATCGAGGGTGTCCGACTTGGCGTGTAAGGTGTTTCGTCTTGATGGTGAGGGATTTAATTTCTCAGGACGATTAAAGGAGATTGCTACATAGCTCTCGCCGGGAGAATTGCTCCACGTCCTCCGATCTGCGATTAACCCTTTGCCTGTTTATCATTGACAATCGAAGGGTGTCTTCACGTTTGATTATATATGCAGACGCGCGCGGTAGTGACGGATAGACGACAGATCGATCCTCGCTGCATGGAGTCGAGAAAATTGGAAATTTCGCCGGCTCACGGTTGACGGAGAAAACGAAGAGGGAATTAGAAAGCGGTTCGGGTCACCGTGTTACGTAGCCAAGATGTATCTAGCTCATCTTGTGAGTAAGAACGAAATCATTAACGTTTTACCGGAGTGTTACATTGTAAAAAAAATTATGTATAGTAAAATTACAAGTATAGTAAGTTGTTATTTTTTTGGGATTCTATTAAAAATATATTTACATATACGTTATTAATACATATATGAACATAAAAATAGAATATACGTGATATATTATAAAAATATATAATATTATAAAAATTTGTACATTTAACGTAAAAATTATAAATATATAACTATTATTGTAATTTTCCTAATATAAAAATATATTTATATAATTAAAAGTACTAACTTTTATAAAGACCCTCAATTTTATTACATTTATACGTCAAATATTATCTTTTATTTAAATTATTTACTGATATTTCTGAAATTTAACATTGTTGCTATTGTTAATTTAATATTATTAGTATTTCTAATATGTTTTTGATTATAATTAAATAATGCCATTTTATTTAAATAATTACTAATCCATTAATCTATAATTTGTATCTGAATTCTATGTCAATCTGAATTTTTTATCGCATTATTCACTGATTCTGAACTAATATTTTTCTCAACAAATTTTGTGCAATATTGTAAGATGCTTATTTGCATCACACACACACATACACACACATACTATTAAATTGATAATCAATTTAATTTGTAATATTATTACTTCAGTTCCAACTTATGATTGCATTTTACAATCTGATAGTAATTGACGCGCAATTTGTATAACTGGAAGATGTTTTTAAAAATTAGATTTACTTAAATATTATTAGATATACCAAGATCTATTTTAATTTCGATCTGATGCTTCTTTATTTAATTTGATTTTATTTAATAACAGTTTAGAGTTTAACCTACTATTATTCACTGATAGTTCTTTAAAAAATATGATTTCTTTATTCTTCTATATCTAAATAATTATCCATATTTGCAACCTTATTTCTACTTACTTATATTTTTTCTTTAATAACATAAATTAAACTTACTAGAAGAAGTGAAGATTAAATTTCCTCAAAAGGTACGAAGAGCATTCTGCAAGCAGGAATTGACGTGTCTACGGTTCCTGCGTTGGACCATCCTGGTGCCGCTTGTGATTTATATGTCGCTTCTATTTGTCAAGTACAACAAAAGCGTGCCTCTGAAAAGTTTATCGACCCCGAGCAACCGGGATAAAGAGGGAGCCGCGATGGATAGCTTGTTCTTCGAGTTGGAGGCCGTAACGGCCGATAAAAAGAACTTGGCAGGTTACAAGGATGCGGGAATCGATCGACGCGGCAACGACGAGACCATACAAATTGTAGAGGTGGAAAATCGTCAGGATCCGAGAAGCCTTCTCGAGGACATTTTCCGGCGAGCAGACACGGACGAGAACGAATTGTTGGATATCCAGGAACTAGCCAAATGGATCCATGCAAAAATCACTGAGCATATCACGCGCGCCATGCGAGAGAACGTCGGTCTATTCACTGCAATCGACAACAATCCTAGAAATGGTATGTAGCTGATTGCAGTGCGGTTTGCACAAGTGTTAATTAAAATCAATTGGAGCTTAACTAACGTTATTCACGTGAATGGCTTTATTTTCCGATGACATTGTATTCGGGACGAATGGTTTTCAATCTACGACATGTAGCATTGCACAAGAATAATTGACGAGTGTAATTTCTACATTTTTATTTTGATCTGTTGAATTAAATATTGACACGAAATATCAAAGGAAACCACATTTTCGCTATAATATGGGTGCATATTGTATTTATAGCGTAAAATTAATATGATAAAACACACTTACTTAATCTCTTTGAGTTTATTAATTAATTTATTGTTTGACAAATTAGTTGATTAATAATAAATAATTAATATTTATACATAGATACAATATATAGTTATAATTTAATAGATATATTGTATATGAATACATAATTGATTATATTAAACTAATTTATTATTATTATTTATTTCTTATTATAATTTATTTTATTTTATTTTTATTTTAAAAATTTAACTGTTGGAGAAAGAAATTCTTGTGACGGTTCATATGATCTCAGAAAAATAAAAAAAACAGTAAAATCTAGTATGTATCCGGATAACACAGTTACATTCTATAAATTTTATAAAGGTTTTCTTAGAATTTTGGATTATTCTTAAAAGATACGTACAAAGCAGGACATTCTAAGACTATTTGTAACATATTTAATTCAGTAATTAATAATTGCTTTACTTATTTAGGAAATGCTATAGAATATGTTCCATTAAATCGTCAAAGAATATTGTAAGACTATTCAATAATAATCTGAAAAAACATTTTATGGACTTTTCTAGAATTATGAGCCTCAATTGAACATATCACAAGTATTTTGAGAATATTCTAAAATTTCCGGAAAATATTAATAAAATATTCAATATTATTGACTGCTTCTCAATATTTATTGCAGGTGAGGTATCATGGGAAGAATATCACGCTTATTTTCTGAGAACCCATGGTTTCTCCGAGACATACATAAATTCCCACGACAAGAAGCATAGCGAGATGCCGAGAACATTAAAAGAGAGCATAATGAGGGATCGAGCGCGATGGGCTGAAGCTGCTAGGAACGATCCCGAAAAGTTAGCTCTAGACGAATTTCTCGCTTTCACACATCCCGAGAGCAGTCACAGAGCTCTTTTGCAAATGGTAGAAGACCTCTTTGAAAAATTCGGTAGGGAATTGTCTCCTCTATTTTTATTTTATTTTTAATTAACAAATTGACGATAACCGTGGTCCATGTATCTTTAGATCGGGACGGAGACGAGCAACTAACAGAAGATGAGTTTTCGGATTTACCATCAGAAGGGGTCGGTCTAGATTTACGCGAAGATCGACAGCAAGCGATAGGAGGCAGCGAAGACAGGCGTAAGGAGTTTCGACATCTGATTGACAAGAATAAAAACGGGAAAGCGGATCGAACTGAACTGTTGGTGAGTAATAGAGCGTAAATATATTAATAAGGGACGAAGGGAGATGCACAATTCCGCGGTTCGATGAACGAACAGCACTATTTTTAAATCTTGTATATGTGGCTTTAAACTTTTGATCGACAGTACATATGAATGCTCAGAAGAGGAAAGCAATTTTTACAAAATATGTTGCGAGAGTCTACTTTTAAACATTTATAATCGCTTTAAAATTAAATGTCGAAAAATTGAAACATATTTTATACATTTCTAAGAATTGCTACAAATATCTTTTTTTAATTACGTAAAAATACATTTTTTAGATTTTATGATAAAACTAAAATTTTTCTTGTAGATGTATATCGATCCGCGAAATCCCAGACATGCTATTCAAGAAGCTCAACATTTGATCACCCTGTCGGACACGAATTTAGACGGAAAACTGGATCTTCTGGAAATTCTGAGTAAGATGGATTTATTTCTCGACAGCAAAATGGTAGACACCGAGAAAAGTTTCCATGACGAGTTCCGATAATTTCTGAAGACAAAAATTAAAAGAAAGGTTTTTGCTGAAGTATATAAAATAAATTATATAAAAAGTAAGATAGATACAGATAATTTAAAATAATGTGGGGTCATTAAAATACTTTAAAAAAGGACTAAGGACTAGGATGTTTAAGCATGATGATAATGCTGCTAAAAGTTTTTAAAGTCAATCAATTTGATAATTCAAAATAATTATTCACATGATCCGACATAATTATTTTTAGATCTGTATCCTGGTAAAAATTTCTTATATAATTTTTCTAATTTTTTAAATAAGTTTTAGAATTTTTTATAAATTTTATATAATTAAAAAAATTTTGTATATATATAGTGAAATAAGAGAAGTGCTGAAAAAGTCAACATCTTTTTTAGAATTCTTTATGTAAATATTTATGTGAAAATTCTGAAATATCTACGATTTCTAAGATTTCTAATTCAATAATTTTCAAAAAGAACTAAGAAAATTTATATTTTATCAGAACAAAAAACAACCGTAAATTGATCATTGATTCGACATCGATTGACATTAATTCAATAAGTTCATTTCTCGCTAGGAAATCTGCATAAATTTGAATATAAAAATTTTTTAATATTATGAGACTATATAATGAGACTTTTAATATTATGAGAATCTTTTCATCAGAATATATCTAGCTAAATTTTCAAATACTTCAGCAAAATCTTTCTTTTCGTAAACAAACATAATTTAAAAGATTAAAGGAGGGGGAGAATTAAAGAGAAAAATTTCTTCAACATTCGTACTGAGAGATTAGACAATATGATTTTTTCATCGTTAATGAGAAGTTAATGAGAGATTAGACCAATTATAGTTAATTAATCAATTTGTACAGGGTACACACTAGCAAACTTTAATGGAATTTCTTTTTACGAACGTTAATCGACTTAACGCGCAAATAAAAATTGTAGGCTTTTAGAACGTATCTGTGATAGTCTTTACGACGTAGAATATATCATTTAAGTAGACACCAGTTATTATAATTATTACAATTGTAGACAAGTTGTGTTACGTTAATTCGCGAAGAAATAATTCAATAAAATCCTTTAATCAAGATTAGAATTATCAATAATTACTTGCTAATTGAATGAACAATGATAATACGATAATGAAGGGTTACAAAATCCGTCCTTTCATAGATCTCTTTTACGACTTCTCATTGTGACTCGGCCGTAAACTATCTAGAAGACTTACTTAGATTTTAGATGCGGAGATCAGAAAAAGATTCTCCGTTTTGAATCATCGATCTTAAGATATCTTTAAATCGTGCAAGAAGAAAATATCAGAGATAACATATAACTTAATACAATTATTTAATTTGTGATATTAATGGAGGTAATTACTAATTAATATTTGTACAATATGTTATGGTAAGACAATATAATATTAATGTAATATTATATTTAACGTGAAACATACGTGTTAACTACTTTTTTACAATTGTAGTTACACGAGTGAATTTGAAATTTGTTTTTTCTGTAACTGTTTTATTTTATTTATTTATTACTTTGTTCTTTGTTCATTTACTTTAAGAATAAACTAACAATTATACTTTTCAAATAGTTCAAATTAGCAATTGGAGAGGCTCTATCTATTGCAAACTGAGACTGAATCTATTATTGTTGCTTTGTACTGATTAATGGATAATCATTTTACTATCTGTACATCGCTGAAGATGGAATGGAATCGAAACGTCCAATTTTGTTTTGTTTTAATTCAATGTAAAGAATCCAGAAATATAATTGTTAAATAATAGTGAATTATCATGAACATGAATTATCGTGCAATTATTATTTTCCATTGCCCGTTATTTAAACATTAATTTGTTGTTAAATATCAAGAGTCCATTTTATGGATTTCTTGTTGTTGAAACATATGTACGTTAAATGTCTTTGAAGATGAAAAATTGCAAAAAGTTTACAAAACTGAAGACCGGGAGATATTTAGATGTGTTAGAGATATTATGATCAACATATGAAATATATAAACTTGATTTGATAGAGGACTTGAAGAAATATAACTACTCACCACAACAACGCAATGTATCTCGTAATGTATGACGGCTTAAGCTCTCGTTTTACAACAAAATTAAAAATAAAATTTTATATTACATTTTAAGGACAAAAATCGATGTTCCTTCGTAGAAAATTTTGTACTTTAGGACATTTTTCTATGTATATTGTGATGTGACACAATAAAACTTGTTTAGGAATAATCTATTTGTATTTTTATCTTGTCACTTTGTGAATGCTATATACTTATTAATTACCAAAATGTTTCAAAGTTAGTTTTATTTGTATTCTTCATATATTTTTTAAATTAAATTATATATTTCTGACCACTAACTAAATTATATATTTTTCTTTTTATTAAAATTTTTTTATTAAATTTAAATATTATAAAACAATTCATATTATAAAAAATGGAAGTAATATTTAATTTAATTTAGTTGAAATTAATAAATTGGAAATTGGACATTTGCTACGTTTAATTGATAAAGTTAGTCATAAGAAATGGTATTATACATACATTTTCATGTATAGGTATTTTCTTTTCTTCTAGATTACGAAGAGAAATAGTAGTCATGAATTTATCGATCAATTTAATGAAAATAAACTAATAATTAACACTAATATGATATTAATACAGACGAATATGTGAATAATCTCTTTATAATGTGAAACTTCATTTACAATTAAAATTAATTTATTACATAATAATAAGTACATATGAACATCCTGTAAATTAATTTAATTGAGAACATTATCTAATTAAATTTACAATTAATAACTGCCAACAATCCATTTCATAATTGAAAGTTAGTATCAGTTGCTCTTATTCATTTATTTATAAAAAAAATTCTAGACAATATAAAATTCAAAATCAGGATATAAGACGTTTTAAAGATATCTAAAAGATCTTATAAATATCTTTTTTTTTCTTGTCTAAAGAACTGTCTAAAAAACGTCTTATATGTTTCGATTTTAAACTTTGGAATTACATTGCCTGGGAATCTTCGCGACGCGAAAAAGAATAAATATTTTAAATGGTGCACGATTTCATGTCTTCAAAAATAGAATCGGCGATTCCCGGACTGCAACTGGAAGTACAAATAATTGTTAAATATTCCATTTATACATTGTTATATGTTTGGAGAATGTTTCATCAGATCGCAAGGTTATAATTTTTTCAGAAATTTTCTGTTCAGAAGTTTGAAAGTCGGCCCTAAATTAATTTTTTAACAAAATTATATCATTCGATATATTTGATAAGATATCAAATTTATCCAAAAATTGCAATAATCTAACACACATAAAAAAACAATACCTGGCCGGATACTAAATGAAACATGTTAAGATTTTTAATTTTCTATATTCCATATCTTAGATATTAATCAGATTTAATTAGAATTAATTAAAGTATTTTACAAAGTTTCTTGATAGCGCAACCTTTAAACTTCATAGTTTAACTGCACAGTTTAGTTGCAAATGTTTGATCCGTGCCACTAATTATAAGTATCAAAGAGCAGGTTTCTGCTGGATAACGAGTAAACAATTTTAGTCGAGGTCAAATCACATTTGATAGCTTCCTTTGACATAGACAGAATCTTTTAGTAAGCCGGATTTCCGTTTTCTGTGATCCTCGACTATTCTCTTTTGCTCCAAATTTTCCATGATTAAAAAAATGAATTACGCGTTATATCATTCCCAATTACAGTGACTTGATTTATTACAAAAATACGGTATTTTATTAAAATTAAACTGCGCTAACTCTATTTTTTCAAATATAAATTCTATATCAAATTTACAGTTTCTCTTTTAAAGTTTTCTCAGAAGCTATCACATAAAATATTTTTCATTTTTCATATCAATATTAAATATATCAATTAAGTTTTATAAATCAATTTTATATTAAATTTTATATTAAAATAAAATTATAGTTATAACTTAGTAATAAATAAAATATTTTTGTAAGTATTAATTTTGTCATTAAAATAACTTTCAATTTTTTAATTATTTTGCTAAATGATTAAATTATCTTAGAGTAATTTGATTTAAAACGAATTTTAAAATCGCATTATTTGATAATTACTGAATACAGATTATATCAGTGCTGTCCAAATGATTCATATCGTAACTCTTTTTTACAATACATTGTAATTCCAAATATAATCAAAATTAAATGAGAATATGTGGCAGTTTAATTTTAGCTTAAAAAATTATGAAAATAATCTATAATATCTTAAAAATTATGTAAATTAAAATAAGGTAATGTAATAAATATTAATTCATTTAATTATTCCAAATAAACATTGCTTTATTTAAGTATAACAGAAAAGAAATTTTTGAAATGTTTATAATCTATTTAGGAAAATTTGGGCATCACTGATTTACATAATTTCAAGAGAAAATGTTATAGATTCCATTACATTACCGGACTTCAAGATTAGCTTAATGTAGATTCTTATGAGAAAATTCCGCCTCAATTACTGTGATGTAATGCATATTATGTCACTCTGCATCAAAGGAAAATCGGTTTGCTTTGATCGAAAATCCAAATGTAGTTGATAACGATCCAAGAAATTATTTTACTGTCAGATTGACTTCCAGACGAGAGATTTACGCGTTTACTATGATTAAATTGTTGTCCTGAAACGTGAAGAAATATTGTTTTTTATAGAAATCAGTTTAAGAAAATTACATTTTTGCAAACCACATGTACAAGATATAATTTCAAGCTAAATTATATTTCAAATCAGAGCCTTTAATTAACTTTTGAAATTTAAAGAATAATATTCTATTTAAAACATTTCTTTCTAATATTTCTTTTCAATTCAATCCTAAATTTTTTCAAAAAACGATTACAATTTGATTAAAAACAAATTTAACTTTAACTTGATAACATAGCTCTAATTATAAAGCAAAAGATAAAGTAATCTCTATTTGGCTTTAGATAAGTTCTATTCACGGGAGATATTAAGACTAGAAATAACAAAAGATAAAAAGCGGTAGAGCAAAAGCTATTACTTCAATAGTATCTACAAGCTGGATGTAATCTTGAGAATTTTAATACATTGTCATTTTCTTTCATCTTTTCCTACGCTGGAATTTTCTCGTTCTGAAAGTGAGATATAAAAGACAAATTTGTTTCATATTTGTTTACTTGATAGATAAAAAATATAAACAGCATTAAAGTTACAATTGATACTAAATACATTAGCAAATATTGCTACATAATTGCTTGCACATCGGAAATGTTCAACGTAAATTATGCTAGGGAACTTATTATCTTCCTTGCGCAAGTAAGCAGGAGAGGGGGGGGGAGGGCGAACGAAATTAAAGCACTAAGAAATAAAAATAATTATTCTCTATACAATATTATTCTTTGTACAATATTAATATATCAGAATGTAGCTCCTAAATATCTCGAGAAAGTACGCATTCAATTTTTTTCATGTCTCTGTTCTTGTATTCTGTAACACAAAGTGGAATTATGTAAGATTAGAGAATAGACAAATCGACGCTGATTTTTGAGGCCTTTCTCAATTATTACTTACTCGACAGATCGATCCGGTGGCGGGATATTTTCACCCCGACAGCACAGTCTCATCAACCCAATAGGTCTCGTTTCTTCCTCTTCCATCTCGATCACTGTAATACAAGAATAGCAAATATATTGGGAATAGCGCTTTTATTCAAATTCTATAACAAAGCTAAATTTTGCACAAATCAAATTTTCTACAAAATTTAAGAAAAAAATTAAGAAAAAATACAAGGAACAAATATGAAAAGTGATAAATATCTTTCCGTATTTCCTTCGTATTTTACGTAAGAATGAGACAATTTAATGTTTTGAAGATTAATATATAATTTTCAGGGAAAATTTTATCATTAATATGTAAGGAGCCTTCCACAACTCGGGCATTTTATGTTATGAAATCCGTCTTCCTTTTTCCTCCGATTAGATTTCTGACTTACAGAGGCAATCATACAAAGTATATCATAGTATGATATTATGATCTACCTCAAAAACCTAAAGAGGGAAAGAAGGAAGAGAGATAACGTAAAAATTGAAGAGCTCTGATATAAATTCTTTGTGTCGATGTCCAAGAAGGAATTCAATTTATTATGATAGGGCAATAACGTCGCTCGAATACGATTATCTACTCCAGTGATCCGATAAATATGACAGTATTACAGAAAAGAAATACTTATTTTTAAATGGATATACTAAGAACTTCTATTGTTATAGAACGCTTTTAAATAATAAATCAAATTGTTTTGTAATATGTAAGCAAAATACTTTTTTTAAAGTTGATGCTGCTAAAGCTTAAAATATACATATATAATTAATAATTACTATATAAAGATATTTTGAGTCAAGCAGTATAAAATTTTTGAATAAAAATTTTTTTTATATTGCAAAATGTATTTTTGTGATATCATTATTTATTTAACGATATTATAAGAATTATTGATTGGAAGATGGACTGGAAGATTCTTGAATAGAAATATAAAAATAGGTACATATTACTTGGGTCGTAATCTTTTTGTGTTCATCTGACATATTGCCTTTTGTATTTTTTTTTAATTATACTAATTCTATAAATAAATTATCAATCCATTAATAAAAAATTTACGATTAACGTTTGACTATATTGTGATTATTGAAAATGAAAAACTATCAATTATTTTCAAAGGTTTCAAAAAAATAATTTATCGCAATGAATAAGCTTTTTATAATAATTAAATTTATTATATGTTACTCAACAAACTAAAAGATCATTTAAAATTAGTGCTGAAAAAAATTGTGCAAAGTTACGTTTTTTTGCAAAAAAAAATGATCAGAGAATGATATTTTAAAAAGCATTTTAAAGCGTTTGAAATCTCCATTTGAAGGAGAAACATGTACTCTCAGTCATCTCATTAATAAATAGCATTCGGCGATATTAAAAAAATTATTCCGTAATCCGACATTATAGAAGATTTCCACAGAACTGTTAAACTGCGACCATCCAAAATACATTAATGGGAATTGTACAAATAACATATTGCAATTGCCTTTATATAGTATTATATGTAATAGCATCGCACAATAATATGAAATTTACTAAAAATTATTCTACAAATGAAAAATATTTTGATAGAGGGAATAAGCATTTATAAATACGCATCGAATAAAGCAATAATTGCTTGTCTTTTAAAGTTATCATATATCTTTTTAAATTATAAAGAATTTTAATTTGTCAGATAATACTTCAGCATTATAGATCGCATTGCAAATGTAAATAATTTACAAGTATCAATTATAAATATTCAACAAGTGTTCAGGCCAGAATTTTTCAATCAATATTCTACGGTACACCGACGTGCTCCAAGTAGCGAAAATTTTAGAGAAATAAAAAGAAACACAAAAAATTAAGAAATAAACAAGTAACCAAGCGAGTGAAGTAAAAAATGTAAAAATGTAAAAATGTAAAAATTATCTAAATTATGTTATGTTACTTTTTATATTATATTATGTTATTTTATCTTTATTTTAATTAAATCGAGTTTTGCAATCATTGCAATAGAATTATTTTTAAAATAATAAAATATTATTAAAACTTTAAAACTTCATTTTTTATTTCTAAATGTCATATTAAAAATATCTGATAATAAATCTATATTGAGCATTAAAGAATGTGAATTAATGACTACCTTAATAAATTTGGCTCATTATATGTAAGTATAATGTGCCACGAATTGAAAAAAATTGAAAAATAAACGCTAAATTAGATTATTCGTGCTATTTTCTTGACTACCCCGAAGCAGAATTTGTACTTCTTTTTTCTACGGATATTTATTCGATGGAATATTCTATGTCTTCGACAGATAATAATGCGAAATCAATTTTTAAAAAGCTTAACATGATTCTCATTAGAGAAAAAATTGTTTGCTATTCGAATTTTTGTCGCTTGTTTTAATATAAAATGTATACTTTCAAACAAATATTCGTTTTAAAAATGGATTGATTTTTGTACTTACCCGAAGTTATTCGCTGAGGTTGACCGCCGCTAAGAGTCGACTGTCTTCTAGTTTGCAAGTCACCTCCTCTTAGAGAAAGATAAACGGTAATAGTTTTATCCAAAGCGAGTCTTACCTAAGCAAATGAAATATATAAAACTCTTATATCTCTTCTCTTTTTCTTTTTCTTTATAAGAACAGAAATTAATGCTTTAATTAAAAAAATCTAATTTATGTTATTATACAGAGTTTATGATATTATACAGAGAGAGAGAGAGAGAGAGAGAGAGAGAGAGAGAGAGAGAGAGAGAGAGAAGCAAAAGATTTCTTTATAAGCAGGGCAGAATGCCTTAGAGTGTTTGATTTTTTCTCTGCTTATCATATTATTTTTAATTTTTAATTAAATCTAGATTTTTTTCAACTAATTTTAATTTTATTTTATTATAAAAACTTAGTGAATAAATAAAACATAACTTATTATGTCCCTTATTTAATTATTAAATTTATATTAAATAAGTTTTAAAAAAGATATCTATAAAATTATATCTATAAAATTATAAGTTTATAACAAATTACTAACTGATAAAATAATATCATTTATAAAAATAAGTGAAAAATAATCTTGTAACAGTTACTCAAATATACTAGTAAATTCTAAGACTAGTAAATTCTACAATTAATAAGATTAATCATAAAATAATATTAATTTCAAATATGATTGAGATAATGTTTCTAAATGGAATCTACTCACTTCGCCATTAAGAAAACAATAAAGCATTGCGATGAAAAGGCCCTGAAACGATCGCAGGAAATGAGTGGAGTAGGACCACACAGCGAACTTGCTTACGTTATCCAACGGTGCTTCGATCATGAAGAGCACGTTAGTAATGCCTAATAATGGTAAAAGTACTACGGCTGCCCTTACGGCTTTCCTGAGTACAGTAAAAAATTATTTTGATACTTTTATTTAACTACATGTTTTACGCGAATATTTGTGCTTGCTCGACGTTTTTCATTTATAATGTAATCATCAGAAACATATTTATTGAACTATTGAGAGAAATATTGAAATCATTATTTTGTAATATAACCTTTTGTAATAAAATTTTGTAATATAACATTTATTATTTTATTAATAAAAAATATTG